TTGTTTGTCCGTCGGTCGGTCGGGCAGCCTGTCGTCTGTACGCACGTAAAATTATATACATAACAGTACGATATATATATATATGCATACATACATACATACATACATATACATATGTATGAACACACAAGCACACATAGGCCTGGTACCTAGCATGCCCATCCGCCCTGCCCTGCTTGCCATGTCATACATCTCATCCTAACATGCAAACATACACATCATGCACAAAGCACACATACAAACACAAACACACACACACACAAATGCATGCATGCATGCATACATACACACATACACACATGAATACACACACACACATGCATGCATGCATGCATCCATACAGACGGACGGACGGACGGACGGACGGACACACACACACACCTTTACACAAGATAATGCTCGCGGCAGCTTCTCACCGTGAGAGCATGGGTTGCTCTCCGCAGTGACGGCTTTTCAGATTGGAAGAGCGCAGGAGCAAAATGAAACCCAGCCGTTGCACCATCCGTTGCTCAGGGCTTGTAGGGTAAATCTGCAGGGGTCAAGGCCTTGATCTGGCAGCCTAACAGTGTCCGAGAAATTTGCCCTTGACCAAGGCATAAGGCATGAGCCCCTCGACCTGGGTCTCACAAGTCGACCCGAAGCCATGGAGGAACGAATCAGGTAATTCCGTTGGCCAACCTGTGGCGTCGCTACCTTTTTGTAGCCCCTTCCTGAGGCCTGCCAAAGCCTTCCCTAATCAGGCTTTGACAGCTGATCGCCATAGGAGGCAAGGTGCAAACGGAGCCTACTCTAAACCCTAGGCCGACAAGGCAGGATCGGCAATTGTTGAAGCGAACCCAGGCGACCAACTCCGTGAGCAGCTTGGGGCAGAGGCGTGTCCCAATGAAAACCTGCAAGAGGCATATATGTATGCGTGGATTCGTAAGGCATACATATGCGTGGATTCGTACGCGTGTGTAAAGAGAATGTACCATGTGAGTGTGTGTGTGTGTATGTATATGTATATATATGTATATGTGTGTATATATATATATATGTGTGTGTGTGTGTCTCTCTCTCTCTCTCTCTCTCGCTCGGTATACGTATTTCATGCTCTGATCACCGCTATAACAAGAGACAGCGTCAGCTTTCTGCTTTTGTGGGGGGGCCGGGCTCACTACAGGTGGGGCGCCGCAAAGCTCTTGAGGAGCGCGGGGGCCTTGGACTTGAGACGCTTTAAGGCCGTACGAAAAACAAGAAAGGGTTTTGGGTTTAGGGTGCGCTCTTGCCTTAAGAGGGCGTGAGGGTGGCGTAGGCGCTTGCCGGCACCTCAGCCCGTATTGAGAAGGGTATAGGGAAGCATTATCTCACAGGCTGTTGGACTTGGGGCTTGCGTCTACAAGCAAAGCTTGCTCAGGGAACGGACTGAGTCAGCTTCCAGAGCTTGACTTAGAGCAGGACCAGGTGCTATGTTACGGCCCAGAACCCCAAGAGCAGACTAGATCGAAATCACGGAGGCATATAAGAAAAAATGCCGAACCTCCAAGGCTCCCCCTCTAGAAGTCCCCAGGCCATCGGGTGGTGGTGGAGACCTTGGAGGCCTCCCTGGAGTGACCTGGCCGCAATCACCACATACAAAATCCATCTAATTTTCAAGAGGGTTGCAGGGTTCCTTGTAGTCATCCAAATAGTTGACTGGCCCTTTGGTGTGTGCAACTGATGAGCTTCTGGCCGAGTGATGAGGTGTGGAGTTTGGCCTGGGCCCACATTGGCTGATTTGAGCTTGTTGTTTGATTACCACGGCGACCTCCCACTTGCATCCCTCCCAACACTAGCATCATGACTGGAACACCGAAGCACTGAGTTGATGACACCTCCATGAAAGATTCATGCATTTCCCATCCCAGGAACACCCATACGCAGGGCATGGTGGCCTGTCAGCAGGCTTGAGACGTGTGAGGTGGTCGCGGTAGCAGCATAAGCAAGTACTGGGTGATGGTAGCTGAGACTGCCGATGGCAGCAAGGTCGGGCAGAGGCAAGTTGCACAGTTTTGGGCTGCTGTGTTCTGAGGCGGATGTGTAACGATGGTCATTGAACGGTGTGGTGATCGTGAGAAGACCTCATACCACGAGAGCACGGAGAAGACTCACGTGCCCGTCTGACGATGCGAATGTCAGGCGATTCGCGACATCCAGGTCTCTCTCGCTGAGAAGGCATCCTCGATCTTCTCATCCATAATGTCAGGAGAGAGAAAACTTCAGCGAAAACGTTGCTCTTCAGGTGGGAAGCCTTCGTCTGATCTCCAGGCTTTATGTGGTTTCAAAGCTTTGTTCATAGAGTTGATTTATGTATAAGGTGAGATTTGTGCTGCTCCGACTTGGCACGCTCAAAGTGTTATGAAGCTCCACAGTAGAAGCCACCTGTACTTTTGCATAGGGCTTTCTTAGGGAGTACGTATCTGAATCATCAAAAATGATATCCCCTTTCAGTTACTTCAGCTTCCATTCTATGCTATTCTAACTACTGGGCCCTCTGATTAGACATCTCTGAGCTCAATAAACTGGCGCAAAGCAGATCGAGCTTTGCCATCAAGTGTGCGACTCTCATCTTCGTCCGAGAGTTTGCCTCAATGTGTGTGCGTTGAGTGCTTGTCCCTCGACATCAAGGTAGCTCGCTTCAAGCGGCATCTTCTGTCTATATAAACGTGTGTACAAGGTCATGATGCAGCATATGCCCGTAAGCTTTGAGCACTCCAGTCTGCGATCGTCAGCTTTGATGAGCATCTCACCCTAAACCTTAAAGACCCTAAACTCTAAAGCAGTGACACGGACAGGAAACGACAGAGGTGTGCAGAGCGACAGCATGTCACATGGCTGTTCTTGGAGGTTTTCGGGCTCGCTGAAGCTTTGACTGTGGTCTGCATAGTCGTGCAGCGGGAATCCGGGAGGGGCAAAGTTTATCTTGAGCTTTTTAATCAATGGACCCCTGTAATAGTCCTGTAATCCAGCGAACAGGTTCAGCCGGTGGATGCAAACACATGCACACGGAAAAGAACGGATCCACGCAACCAACCTAACCCGTAAGCACCTTTAAAAGCCTTGCATGCCCCCAAACCCCGAAACCCTAACCTCCCAAACCCTGTTAGGCACCCTCATAAAGTTTGCATGCGCCAGGATCGGCAGATGCAGGAGCTCTCGGCAATGACCCTTGAGCTCCAGCAGACTGTTTGCGTCTGAGTTTCTTTCGCGTTTAGTGTTTGGGGTTTAGGGGTTCGCCTCATTATCCTTCATTTGGTGCTTTGGGGGTTTCTTTCATGCGACCTGGCGAATGGAGTGTGGTTCTACTTACATAGTGGCTCAAGCACATTACTCTTCGGAACGCTGCCTCATTGATGGATTGACCCAATCATTTTCAGCAAGTCTTAGACATGAACGCGGCTTCAGACGTTTGGGAAGCTTCAGGAATCCGGCTTGCAAGTCGTAGTCGTGACAATTCATAAGAGTAACCCGCCGACTGCAGCCCTACGCCTTAAGCGTGAAAACCACAAGAACTGCAGTTTCGCTGGACAGCATCACGCTGAGTTACAATGATCCATTTGGCTAGTCGCAGTGATTGCCCGAACCGTAGGACTGTAGTCGTACTTAGCAAGAAGTTCTGATCAACGTCGTGGAAGTGTAGGCAACGGTCATGGGTGTTTTTTTTGGGGACAGGCCCGAGAGCTTCATCAGGGACTCGCCGATCAAGTACAAGGCGGCATAGGGTCAAAGGCTTGGACGAAGCTAAGTTAGAATTGAGGGCTGCAGTTTCGATTCTAGGCTGAGCGCTTCTAGCACTTACTGTTGGGTGCGTCCTGCAAGGGTCCTGCAGCTCTGGCACAGTGCGAGATAGCACAGCTTTCGGGATATGATAGTTCCAACCGCGTGCGCTCTCTCTCTCTCTCTCTCTCTCGCTCTCTCTCTCGCTCTCGCTCTCTCTCTCTCTCTCTCTCTCTATCGCTCGCGTTTGTTCCTTCTTTTGTTATGTGTGTGTATAATACATATATATATATATACACACACATACATATACATATACATTTACNNATTTACATTTACATATATATATATATCCGAAAGTGTGTCGCAGGGAGAGAGGAGAGGGAGGAAGAGAGAGAGGGAGAGAGAGCTAGAGAGAAAGAGAGAAAGAGAAAGAGAGAAAGACATAACGAACTAGATACATGTAAAGATATGTAGTATCCGTTGATATCTATAAATAATATCTGTATGTATGCATATATGTATACATACATACACACGCACACACACACACACACATATATATATATATGTATACACCTGTATATACATATACTGACAAACCGAAGAAACGACGGGATAGGACGAACGAAGGACACGCATGGGGGTAACGGCAGGGGATGGAAGGAGGGATTGGCAGGAGGTAGCTTCGCGTTTTGAAGGGCTCCTAAGATACTTTTATTATAGGGGTTAGGGTTCAGGGGTTTAGGGTTTAGGGATTTCTAGCTAATACACTGTACTACAATATAGCTGTGTCCCGTGGACCAATGGTTGACATGCAAGGTGCCGATCGGCTCTCCCGAGCTGTACGGGAGCTCTTCACACAGGACAGTGGCCGTTTAAGCAAGGAGCTGCTAAATGGTTCCGCTGGCCATGATAAGTCATAAGGGTTGCTAAGGCTTCAAGGGCATCTGACGTTGAGTAGTCGGAGCCAGAGGCCTGTAGAAGGAAATCTGAACAAGTCTGAATATCGAAATGATGTACCCGAAATCTTCACTGTATCGTCAGAGCTCCTGATGCGGCCCAAACCCTGGTGTGTGGCTGACTCTGGTGCGGTGGCGAGGTACTCCAACCTATGCAGTCGGAGTGGCATGGGGCTGAGCTCAGGCTCAGGGACAGCAGTCGCAGACTTGTGAGCGTCGTGGTGACCAGACCCCTGCCTGCACCAGCCCGAGCCCCTTTGCTCAAGTCCTGGGCATGTGAGACAGGCCCTTGCCACGATAGAGATGCCCCGGCGGCGTTGGCTTCTGCTGGCTCTTGCGCTTGGCACGGCAAGTCTCAGCTTTGTGTCGAGATTTCCGACGAGGTCGACGACGCCAAGCAGGACACGACGGACGCGACTCGGGGCCCTCACAAAAGAGGAGCTGGAAACTGTAAAAGCATGGGAGCAGAAGGAAGAAGTTGTCACCGATGCCCGGGAAGGCGACATGATCGCGAGCCATAAATTTCCCATCCCGGCGGAGGAGCTGATCCAGCGGACGAAGCTGTATCTGGCAAAGAACCAGTATGGCATAAAAGAGCCCGATATGCTGGCGGAGGATTTTGAATTTGTCGGGCAGGTTATTGGGCCCTTGGACAAGGCAACCTTCATCCGACAGCTCGGCCAATTCGACTTGCTGGTGGCTTTCCCGGACGTCAAGGTTCGGTGGCATCACTTTCGCGTGGACCCCTACGACGCCTCGCGAGTTTGGTTCACCGGCCGTTCCATGGGTACGAACTTGGGAGCAGTGCCTCCGCTAATCTCGGAGGCCACCAACAAGGCCTACGAGAGCCCGCCCGAGGCTTGCTCTTTGCGCTTTAACGAGCAGGGGCAGGTGGGCTTTCCTTCAAAGTGGCCGTACCTTACTAAGGCTACTAAGGGTCCTTGTGTAGAAGAAGTATCCTACTACAATATGTGGTCTGAAACTCCCAGGTGGTGGAGTACACTGCGGGCTACGTCATGGACCGCCGCCAGGGAAACACGGGAGGTCGGGGAGGACTGCTGGGACCACTCTATGCCATCGGCAAGGGGTTTCCCTTCCCCGAGGCCCAGCCCTACGAGTGGTCCTGGCAGCGGAAACTCTTCACCTGGCTTGGGGAGGCTTTGGCCGGAGATGGTCCGAAATGAGATCTGGGAGCTTTGTTGTATGATTGAATCGCGAGCATAGTTTTAGCAGGAAAAGAATTGTTGCAAGAAGTGCCGATATGGTGCAGAGAGCAGACCAGGCTCGCATGTTGGGTAGTCTTGCACAGAGGCAGAAACCTTGATCACAGATTGCCCCAATTCACCAAGGTCGTCCATGCAGAAGTACTTCGGGGACTGCCGGCGTCGGAATCTGCATGTCTCTAGTTTTTGTTATGACTTCGCTGCCTAAATATCAGATCGTTCACTGGATGATGACGGGCTGCAGGTCCCGGAAATACAGCCTGGGCAGAACCACGGGAGTTTACGTGAATATAGACCGTCATGAGCCCAGCATGATTGACATCCCCACATGCCCCCACCCCTGCAAGTGGCAGATACTGGCTTGTGAGCATCAGTACCAACAGAATCAAGAGACTTCAAGGATGAAGGGGCTGACTTCTCAGACTTATCAACCCTGAACTCTACAAGTAGGTGGTGTTGCATACTCTCTTAGACGAAGGGGTGAGAAGGCATGCTGCAATTTCTGGGAGAGGAGCTGGCACGAGAGCTGCGAAAGGCCTTGCGGTTGAATGTGCTGAGCCGGTTGCCATTAGCACTTCCTCAAACAAGCATGAATCCATGAGAGGTATGAGGGGCTCCGACGAGTTGTGTAGGGGTCTTGGGGTTGACATATAGTCTCGAGTCGAGCCGGCCTGCAGCCTGAGGAAACCAGGTTATTGCAAGAATTATTGTGTGCGTCCGCACGCGTGCGTGCTAGCTACGTCTGTCTTCCCATACACATAAGCAAAAAGTAAAATCCAAATACCTAAATAAATTCCCTTTTTTAGTGAAGACAAATAAACTAGGTCGGGGAGATCCTTGTAAACCGCTTATGCTTGTGTGCTTTTGGGGGGCCCCTAAAAAAACTGGTAAATCTGGTGCATCCGACGCATCCGCGAGGCTTGCCAAAGAAGCCAAGCTGAACGCGCCGAGATGCAGAGGCTCCAGAGACTCATGTAGACTTTAGCGCAGGGACCTAAATATTCAAAAACATTTTTTTTTTTTTTGTGGAGGGGGGGGGTCCTTATAATTGTTAAAATAAAATTTACCCCCAAGACCCTATTCTAATTATCAAGGCCGGCCCCTATAGTAGGATCATTTTGTCGGTAGTGCCTGCTCTTCAGACACGACTGTTAGCATCGTAATCATAATTAGTTAGGAACAACAGCAACACAAGCACTGCCTAACCAACAACCGGCACCCGCAGCAGCAGCGCTCGAATGGGCAAGGGCACAGAAATAGTGATGACAATGATCGTTCTGGCTCCAGAAGTCGTATCGATCGTAAATCAATCCTAGCCCCTGGGTTAAACACCCTGAAGTGGAGGACTCAGAAAACAGGGGACTTCAATGTAGACTATAAACACTAAACAGTCGGAACTTTGATAGGGGTAGTTGTCCAAATTAGGGCCCCTTTTCAGTTCCCCAGCTAAAAGGGACCCGATTTTTTTAGAGAGCTACCCAGACAGAGATGCTCTCATGCAGGCACCTCGGACTTCATCAGGCGGAGCTCTCCGGCATGAAGGCCGAAGTTTGCGGGGCGTTTAAAGTGCTCAAAGGTAAGTCAAACCTACACAGGGACCCTTCGTTTAGGGTGCAAGTTGGGGGGGTTTACTTTGAACATGTTTGATCAGAGTGTTTTCGGAATAAATAAAATAAGCGACCATGGGTGTTAGGATACCATCTAATTAATCTAAGATTGCCATAGGGCTTTTGATCTGCTACCCTGGATGGTCATACACGAGTGCCTGTCTGGCTTGGCGTCAATGCTGCTTGTCTCGAATTGGTGTCAGATTGGGCAGCAGGCTACGAACTTGCAAGCCATGCCTCGGATCGGTATTGAAGAGCTCCCAGATGATCCGCTTCGTGGCATGATGTCTTCGAACCTCGCTAGCTCTTGTTCCTTTACCTTTTAACCTGCGCGTTGCTGACGGCACAAGAGTGAGCGAGAGCATTCACAAGTAGTCGCGTACCACACTCAGACAAAGAGAAGCTTGGTCGAAACCCTAAACCCCAAACCCTTCCTGAGACCTGCTGGGCTGAGGGAAAAGGGGCGACAAAAAAAAAAAAAACCTAAGCTTCGTTTCTGAGACTGCCAGGAGATGGTCCAGCGATGGAAGCAGGCTCGCCGCCTCAGGGGTTTAAGGTAAAGCGTCGTGCGCCAGTGGACACAAGCTGAGTTGAAGACCACTACTGATCACTACTCTGGTTATCTAGGTTATTTGATGAACAGTCAATCGAGAGAGAGACAGAGAGAGAGAGCTAGATAGTGTAAGCAAGCAGCAATTTCACAGACGGGAAGAATGCAAGAGCTTCGCCTCGCAACCGAGCGGCATCGACAGCATTGGTTCTTACGACTTGACGAGCAAGTCCAAATTTTCAGGAAGCGGAGCAGCGCGGGAAAGAGGTGGCAGAGCTCAGAGAAAAGGCGCAGTATGGGGTTCAGGGAGGTGGTCTGCACATAGAAGTCAGGTCTTGATGTGATCCTTTCGGCTGTAGCATCAGGAGACTGCTTTGAAAGCCTGGAGTTATCCGTTTGACCCATCCCCAAGCCATGCGGCCGCAAGGAAGCAGAAGAGGCCGAGAAGTTGAAGCATCGGAGAAGACGTGCCTTGGCGAATCTAGAGATGGTCATCTAGTGTTAGGGCTGTTAGGGTTTTGGTGTAGGATTTTGGGCTTGGGATTCAGGGTTTGTGTTATTGGGCTTGTTGGAGTTCGATCTACTTTTCCCGCGCATTCCCGCGAAACGCCTTCGGCAGCCTCTTCTCAGGTGAAGAGCACAGGAATTGGAGGGACCAGATGAAGATCATCGAGCAGGCCACCGGTTTGCAGCACAGACACCCGCTATTCACGAACTACTGTACAAGTAGATGGCGCAAGTGCAAAGCCGAAGATAGAGTCCCAAGGGCAAGAATGCTCAGCAGAGCGGGGCTTGCAGGCAGAGGGTGCAGAGGTCATCAACTTCTGGAGCCAGCCTATGCGAGAGAGTTTGTCGTGCAAATCTTGCTGGTTGTGCAAATGAGAGCTGCTGGCTGACGTGGAGTGGGTTCCGAGTGAAACATATGCAAGTCTCAAGAGCGAGAGAACGAGAGAGTGACAGAGGGGTCTTCCACCTGCCTCCAGCGCAGGGAATGCCAAAGAAGGGGTGGGGGGGCATCGCGGGGATGGCCGCGCTGGGCGCCCAGGAAGGCAAAAGGCAATGATACCTTGCAGTATAGTCTGCCACAGCTATATTATAGTATATTACAGTACAGTATACCTTCCATGCTGAGAACTGAACCACCAACGCCCAAAATCAATCCGAACCCGAAGCCCCATCAACCCTTTTCTTGCGAACTCGAACCGTCTTGGAAGAGTTTCACCTCAATCGACTACGCGCCGAGAGCCTCGCCTGGCTTGTCCGAGTGTCAGCACCGAAATGGGACCCTCAGCCTCATGTCCGACCTATGGATCAGTGCCAGCCCACTGCGAGTGTGTGAGTCGAAGCTTAAAATGTGAGCTCCCGACACCCCATGGCTAAGAGTCGAAGCTTTTGAATTTTGAACTCGGTTCTCTTCGCAGGTGCCGGCGGCTGGGTCCCAAGAATTCCGCCAAGCTTGTGCAAGCCGAAGCTTGCGATTAGCGATGATTTAGCTGGCTGTGTGGGGAGGTGTCGGTTGCCTTCGTCCCGTCTGCAAGCTTGAGGCTGGGTTTTGGGATTCCCTGCAAATCCCTGGGCTCGTCTGCGGCTCAAGTTCAAAGGCCCGATTTTAAACAGTTTTCAAGGGGGCCTCGAAGGGGGCAGACTCGCTTTTCATCATGGATGCACAAGACGTCATTGACATGGTCGAGTTGGATGATTTTACGGTCAAGGAAGTGCAGACTGGCTGGAAGATCATGGACCAGAAGGGTGCCTTCTTGGAGTTCTTCGAGAGTTTGAAAGGAGTGGCTCCTCGCTCGGCGCCGATGCTAAAGCGTGCCCATGCCGCGTGGGAAGCCTTCGGGAAGCTCGTTGCTGGGCTTGGCGAGGCAAGCCAGCTGCGATCAAGCATGGAGTTTTGTGCTCTCAGGCACATGAGTGTGGCTCTTCAGCAGTCTGATGTGGACAGCTTCAAAGCGGTTCTTCTCGATGTGTGCAGCAACAAGCTTGCGGCCCTCCTCACACCAGAGTTCCAGTTCGGTGTCTCAATGCTGGTTGATTCAATGGGCAGGACTATGCTTCGCACCCGGAACAAGTTCGAGACGCGTCTGCGAATCCTGCACACAAGCTGGACTGCCTTGGAACACTCGGAGGGCGAGAAGGTAGATGTTGATTCGCCTTGTCCGCCTGACTCTCCCGATGAAGAAGGTGAACCGCAGAGTGATGACAACGGCCCCGTGTCGCCTAGTGAGAGGAGTACGGGCGAGCGCAAGCACAGGAAGAGCTTGGCCAGTGTAGGATCCGTTCATGTGCCACGGTCATTCCATGACATGGTTCTTTTCAACGCTTCCGTGATGAACATGGGCGAGAATACCTGGTTTGAAGAGATGCTCCGATCCCTCCGAGCGCTCGTGCCGAACTGTGGAAACATCTCCAGGTTGCAAGAAGAATGTGATTTGCTCTGCTTGGCATTGGTGCATTGTGAAAATGTTGAGCTCAGCAACTTCAAGCAGGTCATGCTGGCATCCCTTCGATCCCTTCTCCCTTCGCAGTGGAACATGGAGCACGAGAATGCTTGGTCCTGGTTTTGGGACGGTGTAGAGACGAGGTTGACGACCGGCATGCCACTTTCCTCTGTTTACATGAATCACTTGCAGTCTTTCTTACGAATGGACGAGGAAGCTTGCTCTGCTTTCAAGATGGAGGTGTTCGAGACTTTCTTTGCCACCTGCGAGCAGTCACAAGAGTACCTAAAGGCATCCAACGCCAAGCTGCAGTTCATTGCAGGGAGGATCCTCGACATCATGACGGACATGTTCCGAACCCCGCAGTCCGCCGTGAAAGACATCTCCGCCCTTGGCTTGCTTCATGCTGGATACGGGGTGCGGGAAGAGCTCATTCAGCCATTCGTCACTGCTTTCATGACCGCCGTGAAGAATGCCTGTCCGGAGGAAAGCTGGATAACGGGTGTCCGGTGGACCTTTGAAGTGGTCAGCCGCACTTTAGCCCGGACCATGGCGGAGGGCTCTACTGCCGTCATGCGCTCCATCACCAAAAACTCCGCCAAACAGCTCGAGGAAGCTGTAGCCTCAGCACCCAGAGGACAGCGGGAGCAGATGCTGCTACGGGTGCAGGTGGGTACGGAGTCCATCTCTCCAGTTCTCTGGGCCATCCAATCTGGTGCCTTGCATTCCGCAGAGGCCATCCTTAAGGACTTGTTGACCATCCGTGCCGACCGTGCCCGCTACTACTATGGTATGGAGGGCTTGTGGGACCGGCACCCGGACATCGTCCCGCTGCTATGCAAGCAGGCACCCTCCCTGATGGAGCCATTGCTAGATGGCTTGATGTGGCGATCCAAGCAGATCAAGGGCGGCGTGCGTAGGGTGAACTACTACATCAGCCGTATCTTGGTGGAGGAAGGGGGGCTGGCCCCTTCTATGCATCAACTGGTCAAGCACAGTGACCCTACTTTGCTGTGTCACCCATGCACACGCTTTGTTTTCGATCTCCTTTGGGCCAAAATGTGCTGCTTTGCCTTCATCGTCACCAAGCTGTGGTTCGTGCTCACTCTGGTGGACTTCGTTGTCGGCTTGCAGTATGGGATCCTCATGTTCGATTCAGCTGGGCCCGGCAGATGGGCATTGATCGGCTGCAGACTGTTCATGTACATCTTCAGCTTGGGCCAGCTGTTTATCAAACATACTACGCAGTTTGCACATGCCTACAAGGAGGGCCGGACACTGCGGTGTTTCAAATGCTTCAGGGTGCCTGCATACCTTTTCTCTTCCAGACAGGAGTTCGTGGAGTTTGTCTTGGCGGTCTTTTTGTTTGCCATGTTAACGATGGAGCCTTTCCTTCATTGCCTCAATGTCGATGATCGGTTCGTCACGAACTGTTGCGAGCACGGTGAATTCTATTGCAGCCTCTCTGACAACTACGACCGCATCTCCACGATCCCCATGCTTCTGTACTTCATCTTGGCCTCAGACCTCGTTCATCTCAACATCCATTTGTCCAGCTTCGTCGTGATTTGCACGAGCCTTTGGTGGGAGTTTGTTCTCTACTTGGGCGCGTTGGGATTCGTGGCAACAGCGTTCGCCAGCGCCATTGCGTGCCTCCCACAGACAGGGGCTGATGACAGCGTTCAGCTTCGTGACTTCTACCACTGGCCGTCTGCATTCCAGTCGCTCCTCTCAATGTCGCTCAGCATGTACAGCGGAAACAGCTTCGAGGAGATCAACACTGCAACAGAGGTGCCCCTGAAGTGGTGGATCATAGCATTCGGGGCTTGTTGGCACATCTTCCTCACGAACTTGATGATTGCACACTTCTGTGAGTCCTACCGTGGCATCTTCCAAGATGCTATGGGCCATGCCTGGCTAACACGCGGCACTCTCATCTTGGAGACAGCGATGCCCCTGGTTTCCCTCAAGAAATGGAAGGGATTCGTGGAGTCATTGAAGCTCGAGGAGCCCTGTGAGCTCGACGAGGGGGATGTGGGACCACGTGGAGGCGTGGCCACCGCAGAAGGCCCTTTCGAGCCTCGGCCTGAGTGTTCTTGACATTCTCGGTGACCTTTAACCGGGTTTAGGGTTTAGGGGTTTAGGGTTTCACACAGGTTTAGGGTTTAGGGTTTGGGTAGTGACAACATTGGCAATCCCAAACCTTGCTGACACCCAGAACCCATTCGAACCGAACCAACCTCGCCTGCATTGTCCGAGTTGCGAGAGTCCAAACCCTATACTCAGCCATGAATGGGCATTTTCGACTGTTACGTGCAGGAGGAAAATGGGTGTTCAAAAAATATCCTAAATCACGCACACCGAAGAGTAGCTTCTTAGAAAACCAGTAGTAAGGAGCACCTAAACCCTAAACACCCCTAAACCCCTCAACCTCAAACCCTCTTAAGGAGCACTTAAACCCGAAACTCCCTAAACCCTGAGCACCTAGTGAGAGTCGAAGCATACCTAAACCCCCCCCTGGGGCCCTGTTAAGGAACACCTAAAGAGTCCCGGCGTGGAGTTGGATCGGGTCCGGCGCTTCGGTGGCCTCGCCTCCATTGAGCTTCCCTGGCCCGAGGAGACAGCCCAAAAAAGGGAGGAAATACTCGGTAGGACAGCATAAAACATGAAGTTCACTCCAGTAGTATAGCTTACTCTATTGCAGAATATTTCAGTATATTGCATTACATTATGGTAGATTATAGTATGTTGCATGATGTGCCAGTGTAGGAATTTGATAGTATCGAAAATGATGTTTTGATGCACCCTATAATCCTGCTTCCCTGACAAAACTTACCTAGCCCGAGGAGAAGGCAGACAAGGAGGACGACTCCGAAAAGCTTCAGAAGATGACCTGTCAAAGGTTGGGCCGGGCTTTCATAAACTTGTGCGGGGAGGGGGGGGGGGTCCTTCGGGCCATCTCGTCTAGATGAGGGTCCTTTCTCTGGCGAAGCTCACCAGGTTCGATGAGCAGGACCGCATGTTGAGGGAGATCTGCATCAAGCTTGGAATCCGAGCCTCCGGCTTGACAGGCTCCTCACCGGGATCCATCATGGCCCAGTCACAGGCTTCCGATAGGCCCAAGGCAAGATTCGATGTGCTCGAAGGATCGAGCTCCATCCCGGCAGAGGATGTCCTGGAAGAGAACAGCGATGCCACGGAACTCGTGGAGGATCCGAGTCGCCACAACAGCATGCAGAGCCCAAAGAGCTTCGGTCGCCTTGGCAGCCAGCCCTTCACTTCTGACCCGGTGGTCGACTGAGGAAATATAAAAGAGAGCTAAGAGAAGACCTCATATTGATATCAAGGCCAATAACTATGGGCTATTCTGGGAGCATCAGGCAGTGTCTGTCTTGATGGCGCGAAGCGTCGTCTGTTGTGCTGCACGTTGCACACAATCCCAAACGGTAGTTTGATCGAAGAATTCAGCTTGCTCCTCACCGCACATATGAAAGAGCCGTGAAAGATGAAATCTGGTCGCCAACAGCAGGGTCTTGCAGAAATCGGGTTTCGGAAATCAGCATCAACACCCCAGTTCCGAGAGGGTCCTGCAAGATCTTTCTGGAGATCAGATGATGAGTCGTTGTCGGAGTCGGGAACAGCACGCGGGACCCTGTTACACCCTTGTTAGAAAACATAGCACTGAGGAGTGCATCCATGGTAGCCCTTGTCCTTTATCGGAGTTGCCTGCTCCTTACAGATCCTCTTGAAGAAGATCCGCGTCTTTGGAGTTCCCTCAGTGCTCGGAGTGTGGTGTCTGGAGGCACAATGCACGATTATTTTCAAGCACTATGCCTACAGCGTGTGCATACTTTTCTCTATTACAGCGACGCCATCGGGGTCAGCAGTATCCCAAAAGGCCCAAAAGTATGATCAATATTTTCTCATGTTTCGGGGAGTATCGGATGATACTCTGCTCTTGCATTGGCCAGGGGTGCAGAAACCTGCAATCCTCCTGTTGCACATGTCGCGCTGCTACTTTCTCGCTGCTGCGATGTCACTAGGTAATTTGGTGACGGATTCCATCAATGGTGTTGTTTGTCCTGCAGCCGAGCTTTCGACGTTCAAGGTTACCGTTAGATCACAGGTCCACGGTTGGAGGAGAACATGTCCGACAGAACCGCTGCAAGAACACCACCACGAACCATGTGTCTCCAAGAGACCCTCAGTGTTCCTCTCGTGGCGTAGCGAATCATGGCCCGTCACGACGAACGGAGACAGGCTTTTCAACCTGGAATGGCCCCAAAGCCATGTTCATCTTGTCTGGCCGTCGCGCATGCGAGCACCAGCGAGAAAGTCTTGGTAGCTTTGAGCTTTGCGTGCCTTGCACCAGGGTGCGATATCAGCCCTACTCTCCCCAGCCCCTTCGGTCCTTTGTGAGGCCCTGCAGGGCGTCCGGAGCTCAAAGTGCCCAGGTCAGTTTCGAAGTCGTCAAAGCCGGCGTTCTTGAGAGATCTGCCTTGTAGAATCGGTGGGTGGGGAATGCAAAGAAGAGGGCTACTACCTACCACCACGTTCAAATCGCGGGTTCGTAGTGCTGCTGAAAGGTCTACAGAACTTCCATATGTCCCGAGCTGCATCATTTCAATCGCAAATGTCTACTGCAGAGAGGAGCGAAGATGCACGAAATGGGTTGAGTTCCAGCTGCAACTTCTCTGTTGCCGCAGTTGCTCGCATTCGCGGATCCAGGGGGTCATCCTCTTATTGGCAGCAGAGGTAGGACATCTTGAAGAGGGTGGATGTCATACACCTTGACTCTTCCAGTCCTCGCCGCTGTGCTTCTCAAGCAGGAGCCAAACTTTTTCTTAATACGGTCACACGAATGCATCGATCGCGCAGGTAGGACTGGGAAGCCGTGGTGAAGTTTGATCCACCTGCAGGAAAACCTCTTCAGAGTGATGCCTTCGGGGTCCCATGCCTCTTTCAGACGCAGGGCCTTGACAAAGCAGCTTTTCAAGCAGAGCCTCTGGTTCAGATCATCTTTAAGCCGACGGAGACGTGGGATATAGCCGCACCCGAAAGCTCGAAGCTTCTTGCAGCAGCCCTTGAGGGCACATCGAAGCTAGCAAACAGCTCGATGCCCCTTTCAGCGCAGGAGCCCTCCGAGTCCCCAGCCCCTCCCTCCCTGCCATGCTTGCATGGGGAGTGGCGCAGGGAAGCGAGCACAGGCCAAGAGATGTCCTTGAGCTGTGGTTTGGGCAGGGAACCGCCACGAACTGGCATGCAGAACTTTGAGCCTGAAGTGCTTCTTCCAAGTGCAGCCTCGCACAGGATCCGCAATTCTGTGGTTGACAGCAATCTGTGCAGAAAGCTGATTTTTTCCCGACCTCAAGGTGCGGCATGTGCTAATGACAAGTTAAAAGTACTCGCTTTCAATCACATGGCATGATTAGGTGGGCTTGGCCTGAGTCCTCGGCAGCTTAGTGATGCCTACAGGGCCACCTTTACCTTGTTGGGCCCTAGTCATGCGGAGCAGATGGCTTCTGTGGGCATGGCCTTGCTACTGCCGAGAGTTTCTGCAAAGCGGCATGGCCCTGAAAGCTATGCTACTGTAGCAGGAGCCTGATGAAGGAGCCCAGGTTCTATATATTAGGCACAAAAAGCAGTAGTATCCAAGTCAAGAGTCCGAGGAAGAGCCGGATTTCCTACCTTCCATGAGCAAGAGGCCAAAGCCCGCAATTCTTCGACTTCGTCACAGACGATTCGTCGTAAGTCTCCTTAGCAATATTTGCGGGGTTCACAATAGTTGCTGTCGGCGGTATCGTAGAGAGTCATGAGCCAGATCTTGCGCACCTGGAAAGAACAGTGGATCTGCGTGGGGTCTGCAAGTGTGTCAGAGAGGCATTGATGGAAGCTCAGGTGATCTGGGGGACGTGTCGCAACTTGGCTTTATCACCCCAAACGTCTCGCCTGTGTCGGCGAGTGAGGGTTATGCTCGATGGGAGACAGAGAGATAGTGGAGCAAGAGAGAGGATTTCGGGTTTAGAGGAGGCCGCGGAAGGTGAGAACATGCCACTTAAGTAGTGTATTGAGACAAGACACTCGGGAGTCTGGGTGCAAACCCTCTTACTCTCCCCCAACTGCTCGGATCCAAAAGTAGCCCGCCCGGCAAGCCTCCCGAGATTTTTGTTTGAACTTGGACACTGTCGGAAATTGCGATGACATGATGAGCCCCAGGCCATTGCCAAAGTTGCCGCCTTTGCCGAAATCCCCACCGTTGCCGCTGGTGTCTCACCACCGCTTGATCGTGCATAACGGCTGCGACAAGGAGGCCCGGCCATGCACCGCACTGTGGTTGTGACTTTGGAGGCCGGGAGGTGCCTTGAGAGGGTACAGGGCGGGTACAGGTACTGATATGTCGGATCCGCAGAGTCGGCTTCAGATTATAACAGCAGAGCGAAAGATGGAATGCGTGTCCCAAGAAGGTTACACCCAGACGAACACAAACAAACAAACAAACAAACAGTAAACTGCGTTCGAAGGTCGGCATGAACCTAGAGGCTCCGGCCATGCGGTGGTACGGGCTGAGGGAAGGCCATAATTCTGTTAATGTCCAAAACTTGAGAAGGGCGGCTCGTGTCCTGCCCCTGCGAAGCCGATCTGGGACCTCGGGGAAAAAGCATTTGGAGTATTTTGGGCTTGGGTTGTGCAATTCAGTCGTCGCTTCCGGATGCAGAGCCAATGGGCGGACGTGGGACTTAGGTTCTTTTTAAGCGGTTTATTTTAAGTTGCCATAATAGGGATCTACAGTAAATAAAATGGTTTCCTTATTATGGTAAGAGTTAGTGCGCCAGACGACCAGGAAACGACTTTGCATCCTCGACCTGGACAGTGCCCTCAGTCGAAATCCCAACCCGAGCAGCCTCTCAGCACAGGATGTATGGATCGGCCACATGGCCGGTACTACAACCGGACCAGATCCCCAAAACGTCAAGATCCTTGGGCTGGAAGAATCTGCTTATATTTATGTGTATATATATATAAATATCTTCTTTTGCACATGTTAATAGAGTAGAATGGACAATATACACTATATAGATCACACATCATGACTGAGAAATCACAAGGTTGGCAGCGCTTTCTTGGCTTTCAAGGCTTCTGCATCGCGTTGGATAATCCATACCCGGATCCTGTAGAAGAGATCGGTAGAGCGTCGGCAGTAGAACAAGATGAGAAGAAAAAGGTGTTAATGGTCAGAACCGTCAATTGGCTTAATTTTCGCCTGGTGATCCCATAGACACCAAAAACCCTATTCTAAGTAGCGAGCCCCTACATTGCAGTACGCCCCTAACTGCCCTCAAGTCCTGAACAGCGCTCCAACAACCGCTCAGGATCCCGCCAGGAGGGAGTAGCCCTGGCTTTGTTTACGAAAGGAGCTGTCGCATTATCTTAGAGTATCACTAGTACAGCCGCATAACTGTATGGGGACTGTGCAATGGCGATTGTTTTATCTTTGTATTGCGGGTCTTGGGCATTGCTCGAAGGGCAGCTGGAGGTTTAGGTAGCCGTTCCTGATCGGCTTGAGTTCTGCGGGTAGATTATTGGGCGACGTGTCGCGCTGTTTGCTGTTGCGGGTTTGGGCGCGTTCATTATGTACATCTTCAGTGAGTGCATCTAGCTCCGTGTGTACATGTCCATCTCTCTCGCTCTATCTAAACACCCACACACACATGTACCTACTTAGTTACTTACTGGGGACTGTAGGCAGATGACAGAACCTTGCCATGGCCAGGCTACAACTTCACGACCCCAGACGGCCAGACTCGCGGCTTTTAGTTTGTGGGCCTCCAGTCTAGCTTGGCTCCCATGAAGATTTCCACCTTCGGGGCTTCTGGAGTCTTTCGATTCGGCAGAATAGTGACAGCAGTAGCAATAATGCGACAGTAGCAGTAGCAGTGATAATCTTAACCATGGATGTAATAAGGGCAGTCTCTTTCCTTCTGTATCTGTGCCCCAAGCCTAAACCGACAGCTGCAGCTACACCAACCAACCAAACAACCAACCTACCTACCCACCTACACACCCAACCACCCACCACCCACCCACCCGCCCACCCACCTACTTACCTACCTACCTACCTACCTACCTACCTACCTACGTACGTACGTACGTACATACATACATACACACTATCTATATATATATATATATACATATCTATATATGTATATATATATATGGTACCCCCCCCCCCCGGAACCCACACATTTCACTGT